TCGTTTAAAAAGGTTTTTTTTTTTTTTTTTTTTTTTAAGCTACTTGACTGTGTTCCTTAGAATAAATAAAGGATATTTTATAAATTATGCACAACTCTAGTGCTTTGTTCCTAATCCGCCAAAGCAGACACAAGAAGGTGCTCTGGCTTAGGGGATTCTGGTGCCACCATACGTCAAACCTGGGACCTGACCTGGTCCCTGAATAATAGGACCTGCATGTCTCTCCCGAGTCCCAAATCCCAAGCTTCCCTGACTGGAGACAGTAGTGAGAACTGGTCTCTAGTTAGGGCCGTGGTCTCCAGGCCCCTAGCACGTGCCCTGCTGGCAGACTGAGGAGTGAGGGCTGTGTGGGCATGGACTGCCTTCGCTTCTCCGAGACCCCCCAACTCTAGACTCCGGGCTTCAGGATGCAATGAGTGTTTTGTACTCCATGCGTCTTGTGGATGGAGACGTGTGAACCAAAACAATGATGAACTTGAAAAAGGGGAAGGAAAGGCCCAGATGTGAGAAATGGGGAAACGGAGCTGGCCCCGTAGCCCAGCAAAGGGAAGCTAGACCCTACGTGACTGACTGCGCTTTGAATCCTGGCCTCATTGACTTGAAAAACACTTCAGGTGCATGTCCATGAGTGCCCCAAATCCCAACAGGATGGAGAAAGGAGAAGGGATTGTGGCATGACCACACCCTATCGGAGAGTGCTATCTCCCTCCCTTCGTTTCCCTGGTGAGCACACATGTCCTTTGACAATTAAAAAGAAAAAGAAAAAGAAGGGGGGAGACAGTCTCCTTTAAGCTCCTGACAAGAGAAGACAGTTAGCTGTGTCTAGCAAAGCCGTCTCTCTTTCCCCGCCCAGAGGCAGACCTGTGTTCTTTGGAGAAAGCTGTCTCCCAAGATGGCCCCCTCTCAATTGTCCCTGTCCTTCCATCTCATTCTCCAGAGACAGAAAAACAGATGTGCCGGCCCTGGAAGATTCTCAAACAGGGGTCCCCAATGCTGCAGCCATGATGGGTCCATGGCCTGTTGAGAGCTGGGCCCTGACAGGTGCTGGTCCACTGGGCTGCACAGTAGGGTGTGGGCTGCCGGCAAGCGAGTGAGCAAGGCTTCCTTCTGCGTTCACAGCCACTCCCCATTGCGGCATTGCCACCTGGGCACCACCTCCTGCCGTATCGGTGGTATTGGATTTTCAGGGGAGCATAAGCCCTATTATGTGGTTATTTCATTGTGTATTGCCATGTGGTAGTGGTGGAAATGGGGTGCATGGATGTGGTGCACTTGGGTCACCCCAGAAACATCCCCCCAACCCCACCCATGGACGGATAGTCTTTCTTAAGCCTGTCCCGGTGCCAGGAAGGTTGGGGACCACTGCCCTAATACACATAAGATTGAAGTTTCTGCTGAGTAGATGACAAGGCGGGACGTACAAAAATGGCCACTGCCGGGGGATTTCAGTTGGGGGTAGGATGCTTGCTTCAACGTAGGAAGCTCTGGAGGGAAAACTAATGGACTGAGAGGGCCGCTCCTGGCCGTGAGCCCGCCATCTTGGCTGACGTGGATGTTGAAGGAAGTGCGGTATCACAACGTGATGGCCCTCAGCTGACTTGACGATCGTGGGCAAAAGTTGAGGAACAAAGCTCAAGGCAACCGCGTAATACTGCTCTGTCTCATTGTGATGAGGTCCTCTCTCTGCTCATCTCGGTCCCACCCATCTGAAGTGGCTCCTTGTATTAAGAGGGCTTGCTCCCACCTGGAGATGAGGGCTTTGGTTTGGAATTGCCTATACCGAAGAATCTGGGTCGGTACATAGAGTAAAAGCCCACTCTGTCAATGGCTGCACATGTTTGAATGTCAGGCAAACGAATCTTCTTAAAATTAGAATCCCTTTATTCTCTATAAGAATAGAGGAATACTTTGAATGCATGTGCGTCCAGAGCAGCTTCTGCCTTTATTAGAGAGAAATTTCTCATTAGGCCAAACAAGATTTGTTGCCAGTATCCATGGAAACCTGCAGAGTTCCAAAGATAAAGCTCCAGTGTCCAACATAAAGCCTGAGACAATGTCCCTGCTTTAGTTCATAGCCCCGTCCCGTTTCAAGAAGGGCCAAGCACACCTGCTTGTTAGAGTCTACGCGGTAACAACTGTTCTCAGATGAAACGGCCATATTCACCAGCTGGGGCAGAGAAGCAGAGCCATTCCCTCCAGAATCCCTTTCTGCTAGGAGTTCATCCTCGACTGTATGTTCTAGGCAACTCTGATGTTCTCTAGGGGACCTAGAATGCATCCCTTCATGAACTGAAAGGAAGAGGTACGGTAGCTTTGAAAGGCAGCTCCCTGTTGGAAGCAGAGCCTGGAAGTGATGTTCTAGAAGCATCAGAGTTTTTTTGCTTTTTTTTTTTTTGAGAGGTTTTTGCTATAGGGCACGTGTGTTCGCCAGACAGACAGAGAGACGGAAAGCGAGAAGCCACCCCCCCAAGGGGGATGGCCATGCCGCAATCCCTTCTCCTCCATTCTCCTCTCGGGATCTTGGGCACACACGCACACGCACCCGGTGTGAGTTTTAAGCCACCGGGTCCGGGACGCGAACCACAGTCGACTACATGGGAGTCCAGCGACATAGCCATTACACTAACTGCTGGTCATCAGAGTTTTCTAAGTTGACTCAAATGGAATGCAACCCCATTGAGGGCTGAAGATCAGAAAAAAAGGGTTGGGGCCCAGTGGTGGTGGTGCCAGTGGTAGCATGCTGGACTGCAGTGCTAGAAGTGCACAATGAGCACAGTTTGAATCCCCGGCCTGACTGGCCTGAAACACACAGGCACGCACATGAGAACTCAAGATCCCACAGGCTGGAGGACTAGAGGAGGAGATTGCAGAGCCTCTGTCTCTCGCAGACATGCTCTCTGTTACACAAGCATGCATAGGCTCTATTATGAATAAAGGGGGAAAATATATTTAGAAATGAAGAAAAGAGTTGACTAGAATTTTTTTTGAGAGGTTTTTGTTTTTGTTTTTGTTTGTGTGTGTGTGTTTGTTTTTGTTTTTGTTTTGTTTTGTTTTGTTTTGTTTTGCTATAGAGCGCATGTGCTCACCAGAAAGACAGAGACAGAGATAGAAAGCGAGAAATCACCCCCCAGGGGGGATGACACACCACAATCCCTTCTCCTCCATTTTCCTCTCAGGATCTTGGGCACGCACGCACACGTGCTGGCATGAGTTTAAGCCACCGGGTTCAGGACTTGAACTGCGGTACTACCTGGAAGTCCAGCGACATAGCCATAACACCAACTGCTGATCCCTTGACTAGAGATTGGACCCCTTTCTTCCTGCTGCCTCAGTCCATCCAACCCCACAGTCTAAGTCCAGAGACATCTCTCTGTGAGCTCTCACTGGTAGAGCGACGCCCGCACCACGGAAGCCCATCCCTTCCGTTCCAAGTTAATTCCTGAATCTGATTTGGGAGCCTTGGATGGCACCTCTTTTGCCTGCAAGCACCCAAACTGGGCAAATGGTACCTGCCAGATCCATGGTGACCCAATCCACAGGCAGAGGGGGCTCACAGCAGGGGAGGGGAGAGGGATCACTCCTGGGTATGTGCATCGGGCATGGCTACCCACTAGTAGTTGCTTATCCCCAGGGAAACTTTGTTTCCAGCCCCACCACGCTCCTCCCCAGTGTAAGTTTGCATTCCATAGAGTTTCTGCTATTTTTAAAAAATAATTATTATTTAATGTTATTTATTATTTTCTTTAATTTGGCCAGAGATAGAGAGATGGAGGAAGAGTGAGAAAGCAAGCTGCCAGGTCTGGGACTTGAACTGTGGTCAGCCTTGTGGGAGTCCAGTGCCTCAACCACCATGCTACTTGGTAGCCCCAAGAGTTTCTACTATTTAAGGATAAGTCCTGTACTTTGTTTTTGTTTGTTTGTTTTAAGAATTATTTATTTATTATGATTATAATTTTTCACATGAGTTTTGCCAGAGAAAGACAAAGAGGGAGAGTGAGAAAGAAAAGCAAAAATCCTTTTGTTCCCAACTACCCTAAGAGTGCCTCTTTTTAAAGAATTATTTTATTTAACTTTTACCAGAGAGGGATACAGTGTATGTGTGTGTGTGTGTGAGAGAGAGAGAGAGAGAGAGAGAGAAAATGAGAAAGCAAGCTGCCAGGTCCAGGACTCGAACCACCGTTGGCCATGTGGGAATCCAGTGTCCTTAACCACCATGCCACCTACTGGCCCCGCCATTTCTTTATATTTTAAAAATGTCACTTACTTTTTTTCTGAGTGAGAGAGATCCCTAATAGGATCTTCACACCACAATCCGCCCCCAGCCTCAGCTGGCCAGGATCACAGGCACACGCACTCCCACCCAGTGTGCATAAGGAGGCCTCAGGAAGAGAACCTGGGACCTCCCCATGTGGCCCTAGCATCATGGAGCATTATGTTAACTGTTCATCGCTGGCCTGCATATGCCAGCCACTGCAGAGGCATGGGGGACATGACAGCCCTAAGGCTGGGGGAAGACATTAGTTTATCCTGAGGAACTGCTTCCTTTCAGTTGTTCACTTCAGCCTCTCAAAGTTATCCGGAAAAGAAACCCATTTATGGCTTTTACATGTCATGATACCAAACTAGGGTTACCCCAATTCCTTGTTTTGCACATAGAACCAACAACCTCT